AAATAACCCAACAGCCAAGCCAACTATGACAGCAATTTTCAGCTTGGAGACTTTTAAAGCATCCCTTCTGGAGATAACAGAATCCAACACATCAAGGCTGCCCTTAGAATTATTTATCTTCATGATCTCCAACCCATTAAGAATGGCATTTGAATAGGGATCAAGAGCAGAAGAAGTGCCAACACTTACGTTAAGCAAAGTACTCTCCTTTACCCTTGCAATCACATCCAGAAAATATGGGGCACCTAATACATTTGATGTGAGATTAAGAAGATTAAGATGAGAAACTAACAATGAATTGACATAAACATTGAAGAACAGCAGTGGTACAGAGGCAGGCAGTATATCACAAAAGTGAAGCCGGACAAGGTACTCAAAACCCGGGTCAACAGGAAAATTCCATGTTATATTGGCAATAGTTCCAGGATCATCTTCAGAGTATAACTTAGTGGCAGTGCCATACACCCAAGAAGGGGCAAAAATCTCTGTTGTCCCACTAGTGGAATTCACAGCTGTGACATTTTCTAAAAATGTTCCTAGATTGTGATGAACTAGATAACCACCATCACCAATCCAAAGCCTCCATAAGGCATCAAGGTTACGATTCACAGTCAAGTTCCCCATGTTAACCCTTGCAACTGTCTCTAAAGCCTGTTTCCACAAAGCCTGTTTATGTCCCTGTGAAGCAACGAAGGAGGCCTCCACAGGAATGAGCTCATCAGGAAGTGAAAAAAATTCCAAGGCATTGACATAAGCAAATGAATTGGAGTGAGGAGAAAAGGTGAGAACAAGCTTATCAGAAGTAATATTCAAAAAGAATTCCTTCACAACAGGGCTAGATTCTGGTCTGTATTCTTTTATTAGAGTGAAATTCTGAGCAGAGACAGAAAACTTGGCCTTACTCAAATTAAAATTCTCAGCAAGGAAAGGGAAGAAATAGAGACGAATCAAATGGCGCCCGTGTTTTTGGATAGGGAAGGTGTAATGTGAAGGTCCATCAAAGACTATTGCTGTCTCAAACAGAACTGAATCTTTAAGGGAGGATATGGAATTCACAGGGATGCTTTTCTGGGTTGTGAGAAGATTGGAATAGAAATCATCAGAGACAAATGTACGAACACCTACTGATTTATTTGTGGAGGAACCACAGTCTATAAGGTAATTGTCTATAGGCTTAAACTCTAAGGAACCGGATAACAAACAGGTAATAGACAATATCCAGATAAGAAATGGAAAATCTTGATTATTCACCATGACCGTGATGAATTGCAGAGCTCAGATAACAGTAGAAATAGCTGCTTGACTGAAGCCAAGAAGCATCAAATTCTCAGATAACCATCAAAAGCCTGGAGAAAAAATTGGCATATATCACCATAAAAAACACAGTATACGTCAACAAAAAATTCAACCAACAAGACGAAACCAATTAGCCAAAGAACAAAGTATGAACAACCCAACAAGCGAAATGAGCAAATAAAACGAAATTAACAAAAGGGTACCTTTAAAATTCACCCGAAAATTCAAAGACATCCACCAAAAACCACCAGATGAAAGGACGAACTTCCCTTTCGTTGAGAGTAAATAAGAAAAGCAACAGAGTAAAAGCATGCGGCAACAACAGTCTTAATTAACTAATCTGAAAGCAACCCAATTTAGTGCCAACGATTTGTTTTGACGGATTCCTATGAATTGAACAGAAGAAAAGAGGAGGGAAGTTAAAAAAGTTAAAAGTTGCGTAAATTGTGTATAGAGGGGTCGGAAGGAGAAAATTAAGATAGGTCAAAAGAAGTTTGAAACAGACAGCCATTCATGATTGAAGAAAAGAGAAGTGTGACAGCTAGACGTTGATGATGGTGATCTCCCTCTCTCTCTCTCTCTCTCTTTCTCTCTCTCTCCCCCCATCCATCTGCATCACTCTCTGTTTGTAGCCCAAAGGGTTGGTGTACTTTGTACGTTTGGTAATTCGCATCATTAGTGTTTTTTTTTTTTTGA